GGTGTCAAACCTATAGAGCAGGTACCGATTTTTTCAAATCGTGAGCACATTATTCGTCGGATTTTCGTTATTTAAATTTCCTGTAATCACTGGGATCAGAAGCTTCTTAATAAAAGAACGTGTTTCACTGACATCAAAGATGCAACATTTAGAATCACCTTCCCCCAACCCCCACTTTTTAAGAAGTAAAATTTTTGTCTGTCAGTGATAAGGAACTCCTGTAACGTCAAAAACGGAGTTTCAGCAATTGTTACTTTTTCTTTTTTGCCTATAGCACCGTTGCCACTGTACTAAAACTACAAAGCATACTAGTAACCCCGTGTGGAAATTTTATAAAAATCCGAGCAGTTATTTCCAAGTTGAGTGATACAGTTTTTCGTGATGTAGATGTCATATGACTTAAAAAACATAACATCTCATTTTATAAAGTTTTCGCGATTACGATACTTCCTCGCCGATGACGTGGGAACTAAAAGGGCTTTAAAATCGAGGAGTATCAGTGATCGCGATTATGAGTACCTATTTGCAGAACGACTTATCTGCGCGATATTATATGAAATAGGGCCACCAAATTATCTGAATACGTCCTTTCTTAGTCCGTACATTGCGCCGCAATGATTGTGTTGGCTGTACGAATCAGTAGACAAAATTCGTCCAAAATACGATTTGTAGGGGTTTGCGCGATTCGAAATTGACGCTTTATTTTTTGATAGTTTGAGATGAAATTCTCACAGAGTGCTGAAAACAAAACCTCACTGGGTGCTATAGATCCACTTTTTCATTTTATTCACCAGGTTCGTTTTAAAAAAATCGCGAATTTGAACAGAAAAAGTGCGCACTTCAACGCATCAAAAAACTTGTGCAGAAACAAAATTTCAAAAAGTGCTTCTCTAGGACCCTGGGCAATTATCTTCTCAATATACTGTATGAATTTCATTCAAAAATATTGAAAAATGGAGTATCAGTTTTGAAGCAGCTGAGCCCTTGTAAATGACTTGAAACTCATTGCGTCGCAGCCGCCTTAAAGGTACCTCGTTAATCCAATTTGTGAACTGCCTAAGGTTATAACAAGTGAGAAAACCACTTCAGGCAAATTGTCTTTCACACATTCTGGACACCCTAGGAAGGAGGGAGCGATCGTACCGGCTAATTCTGGATGTACGAAGTTCAACAGAGAGACTTGGCGGTAGAAGAGAGCCAGATCGTCGATCTTCCTGTGATAGTAGCAGTACTCGTGAGTGGGTTTTATCTGGTCCTTGCACAGAGGAAGGGGATAAAGGTCGTTTACAAACTCTGATGTTGCCGTATCCAGGCGTACCGTTACCGTAAGGCTACCGCTGGCAGTTAAAATCAATTTATAAACTTGCTAACGTTACGGCGCGTGATGCCTCTCCCAAAATTGCATCCTTGTTCACATGTTTGAAGACCAAACTTGTCTGCAAATTAGCTGCAGTGTACTCATTACTTGTAACAGACATCCCCTGATAATTTATATTATTATTTTAATAAACTAAACAAATATAGCAAACAACCTCAAAGAACAAACACGTGATTTTCCGGCTACAATCCGTTGGTTAAAGCGAGAACGGCAACGGCAGAAAGTTAAAACAACTTAGCCCATAATCAAGTTCTATATTACGGCAACGCTACGTCAGAGTTTACAAATCAACCTTAAACCTGGTTATCGATTAGTAACTTAGTATCTACAGATGCTACATAACGCAACCTGTGATGTAAAAAAACTATAGTTCGCTCAGCTTATACAAACTTCTCTCAACTGAGTCCGGTTCGGAAATGTTTACTGTCTATATCCGGTTTGCCAGTTATTACCATTGTTCGTACCCCATTAATGTTATTAAGTAGAGAAATAAACTTTCCACATAATGAAGATATTGCCTTATATTTATGTCTGGGCTCGTAGCAGAAGCCTTATCTTTTAACAAGAATACATAAAGTAAGCATCACGAAAGTGTTATTAACGGTATAAGTAGCACGGAAAGCTGTATAGGCTCTCTTAAGATCTCGGTGATAAAACTAAGTGCTTTATTTTATGTCAAGATTTTCTTGTAGCGTGGTTAAAGTCACGATATGAATACTTAATTGCTTTTGGTCACCCTCAGCATAAATAATGATGATTGAGTTGTGAACCGATGAAAGGTCAAGAACCAGTAAAGTGAATGAGCGATACAGAGGTTTAGTCTAATCATATTAGCAAATTTTCCCGAAATAATTGTAAATTTTAAATCAAAAGTGTTGACAGGAATAGAAAAACTTTTCATGTATGGTTTTTAGGTATTTATGAGACCTACAAAATGAGACTACGCGTAAAAAGATCCGACCAATAACAAAAATGTTATGGCCGAAAAACGAGGCAAAATGCAGGTTTTGACTCTTGTTGGTAATGTGACGATAATTTCATGCAACGACTTGAAATGCTTCAAATCCGTGAGATTTATACTTCTACATAACAACAACAAAATTGGAGTATATTGGTCAAGCAGTTTTTGAGAATTCACAATTGTTTATCACAAAAAACACCTGTCTTCCGGCCATCACCACTAGTTTATTGAGCAATATACCGGAGTCATTCAAAGAGCATTTAATAGCAAAATGCATGTGTTTACCTTGCCGATGTGAACCACAAACGATTCCGAAAGATAAATGTTATTTTTATGGTTACGTATTTTTCTTCTAAACAAATTCAAACATTATGTATTTGTGAGTAATTCAATAAATACGGATGTGTCTATCATCTTTTGTTGCGAATTACTCACAAATACGATATGCTTGAATTTATTTAGAAGAAAAAAAGTAACCCATCCCTTTTTGCATAAAAATAACATTTATCTTCCGGAATGTTTGCGATTCATATCAGCAAGGTAACTAGTGTATTTAGCTATAAAATGCCCTTTGAACGAACCCTGTATATTGCGCAATAAACTACTAGTGATTGCCGGAAAACAGGTGTTTTGTGGTAAGCAATTAGAAATTCTCAAAAACTACTTGACCTATCTACTTCAATTTTGTTGTGGTTATTTATAAGAATGAATCGTACGTATTTGAAGAATTTCAACTGGTTGCGTGAAATTATCGTCGCATTACCAACAAGTGCCAAAACCTGCATTTTGCCTCGTTTTTCGGCGATAACATTCGAATATTTTTACGTGTGCTATCATTTTGTAGGTCTCATAAATACCTAAGAATCTTATATGGTGAGTTTTTCGTTTCTGCCAACACTTTCGATTGACTCCCAAAACCACGTTTTCTTATTCTTTTTTGTCGAATAAAAAGTTTTCCCACCAAAATTGGTGTACCATTTTATGCGTCCACGATTGGAATACCTCCTTGGACAACTTGCAGCAATAAAACCAGACTTAACAATTATTTCGCGAACCAGGGGTATTTTCGTTTAATATGATTAGACTAGTTATCAATCAACTCTAGCGCCGCTCTGTGGATTAAAACCCCGTAATGGAAGAACTATCACGTCAGTTGTGTGAATGGTATAATAATTCATTCATAAATACACATCTAGTGATTTAGGGAACACGACTTAGAATTAGAAAGTAGCGAGTTGGAAATATATATATAAAAACATTCCATAGTATTCTCGCTGATCTGGATGAAGCTTTTTTCTGGAATAAAACCTCATAGATGAAGCCAAACCGTCATGCCATAAACCAACAGTTGTTCAATAAGCTCATTTCTGTTATTTGCCTTGTCTTGAACCCGAAGTCAGACCCTGCTCAAACTATGGGTCAAATTTACTCAAGGAAGCCCGAAAGGATGCTTTTTCTCATGGTATGTCATACGAGGCGATACAACCACAATTATTTTCTAATTTCCTAAAATATTATAGAAAGCAAAACGTCATCAAATTAAGCAAAGCCATAAAACGAGGCACTAATAGAGACATTATTCACACTAGTACTAACGCGGTATTGTTAATTTTTACACCCTGTATAAAAAACACTTCACAAGTTTTAGACTTTTCTACAATTTTTTGTCACTGTCTGCGGTGTAAAATAATATAGGAGCAATAAACAACAATTTTTTCCAAAATGGTACGCTTTATAATAACCGAAGGTTAATTTTTTAGATGGATGGTCAAGCTTTCCAAAAATATTACTAATGAATATTATACGATGTGAAATCGCAATTAGTATTAATATCTAAAAATAAAGCTATTTAGTAGGAGGAGTACGAGTTATTCCGAAAAAAACAGATATCCAACTGCGTCCTTTAGGGGCGTGTATCATAGTTGGAGGAGCCAATTTCTAATAGGAGATCCTCGTATTTTTCGTAATCTTTAATGCATCCGAGAGGCGTAGCTTGAGGAAAGCAGCGACACTCGTAAATAACCAGTACAAGTAAGTCGCACGGCTGAACCCCGAGAAGCAGCAACCTCGACTGATCATGCCTGTGATATTGGTTAATATTAAACTCCATCTCTCTGCCTCAATGTCCAAGGAAAAATAACAGGGTATTTAAGGATCGTAGCCGCATTTTTACTTATTGCTACTCCATCAAGTAGCGCCCATGGTGGACCTATCTTTGACTATAAGCTACAGCGCCTGCATCTGTTACCAGGCTGAACCCCGAGAGCAACCACCTCCACCGATCATGCGGGTGATATTATATACTTCCTGTCTTCACGGTTCAAGGAAGTATATCAAGGGTGTTTAAGACTTGTGCTCCATCTTTTACTTATTGCACCTGTACCGGGTAACGCCCATGGTGGACCTACCTTTCACTTTAACCTGCAGCGCCTGCATCTGTTACAATACATTTTCCAAAGGACAATGTGAAGATCCTTCCCACACCTACCTTTTAATTAAATGTATCATTACACAGTGCTTAAGTTTAATTATAAAGTTGCACAGAAGCAACAAAGCACACAAAACCATTTTCGATCAATATAACAGCAATTACTTTTGTTACGTTTCTTAGTTACATTATAAAAAGACTCAACTTCAATGTGAACATTTTATACAACAAACATGTCCGCTGATTGCTTCAAGGCCGTCGATTTCTTTTTCAAACTCTTCGGAATCTGGATGGACAACAGCTCAAGATACAAAATGGTAGCTTATATCGTATGGGATAGCTTCGTATTCTTTTTAGGCTGTGGCTTTGCAGCGCTTGAAGCGATGATGATTAGGACGAGTATCAAGGACTTGAGGTTGTTTTTCAAGGTGTTTGGGATGTTTGCAGGACATCAGTTGGCTCTAATGAAATTTGTTGTGATGGTGAAGAATTATGGGAAGTTATCTAATTTAAAGACGAAACTTCGGAGCAGGTGCTTCCGGTACGATCCTTTTGGTAAGATTTTGGTAAACAATACTCTTTCCAGTTGTTAAGATCTTGGATTACTCAATAAAAGTGAATGGTTCAAGAGCGGAGCAAAAAACACTCGCACACAGTGATGCACTTATACTAAGTGACATATAAATCCGAACACCCAGTTTAAATGGTTTTATTTTAATAAAAGTAGGTGAATGTATTTATCTTACTGTAAATAACAATTGAAAAAATTTTCAGCCTTGTCAGTTGGACATTCCGGTTTTTATACTGCTTTTTTTTAATTCACTAACGCTCTAAAAATGAATATTTCAGCGGCAGTAAAGAATCAACGTTGGCGGATTTTGGTTCTTGTCATCCTTTACGATCGGTTACGATGCCTAGAGTACGGAGACCTGTACGATTTCGTCAACTTAGTGAGTTTGATAGGGGCCGTATAGTGGGACTTCGGGAAGCTGGACTTTCTTTTCGGGCAATTGCAGTTAGAGTGCAAAGAAGTGTAGACACTGTGGTTAGGTGTTGTCAGGCATGGCTTCGAGAAGGCCGTACACAAAGAGTGGGGCACTGGACGCCGCCGTAGAACAACCGACCGTGAAGATCGCCGCCTAAGATTATTGGCCTTAAGGGAACGTTTCTCCACTACCAGGTCCATTGCAAATGAATGGTTTGCAGAACACGGAAGACGTATTGGCATGCGAAGTGTTTACCGACGAATCAGAAGTTTTGGCTTGTTTTCATACCGGCCACACTGGGTCCTCCCTTTAACTCGAGAACACGGACGTAATCGCCTTGAGTGGTGCAGACAACGGTCACTCTGGGATCAGGAATGGAACAGTATTGTCTTTAGTCATGAGTCTCGATTTTGTTTAGGCATGCACGATGGTCGTGCCAGGGTTAGAAGGCGACGTGGTGAAAGGAGGAATCCAAAGTTTTTTGTTGAAAGACGTGTTCATCACACTGTTGGAGTTATGGTTTGGGGTGCTATAGCTTATGGTTCCAGGTCACCTTTAATCTCCATCAGAGGTAACATGAACGCGCAGCGTTATATCCACGAAGTTCTAGTACCCCATCTTTTAACCTATCTTGACACCCTGGCAGATCCAACTTTCCAACAAGATAATGCCCGACCACATGTTGCAAGAGACACAATAGACTTCTTTCAACATAATGATGTCACATTGTTATCATGGCCACCAAGATCTCCCGACTTATCCCCAATTGAGCACGTGTGGGATATGATGGGTAGGAGATTGCTCAATTTGCAACGTCCTCCTCAGACTCTAGAAGCACTTCGAAAGGTGTTAGTGGTTGCCTGGAATGAGATACCACAGGAGGACATTGACCACCTGATCAGAAGCATGCCTAGGCGCGTTGGAGAATGCGTAGCACATCAGGGTGCATCCACACATTATTAAAGGTGAAAGGGCTTTAAAGCAATGCAATCATTTTGAAATTTTTATCATTTACTTATTATGCTTCATTAATGTTGGACCAGCGAAAGATTGCAAGCCGAAAGAATGCGGACAAAAAATTGCGAAGTTGTCAGATGTTCTACATAAAATGCGGTCCATACATATTAACATATTTAAGATATAGAATTGTTCCGCTGAATTTGGCAATGTAGCTGGAAAACCCAGGCCGCAGGTAAACATCCGGTCGCTGATTGGTCCAAAACTCTTATCTTATCTGAAACTAGAATAACGTGCCGATGGCACGGTCATTTATAAACCTACTCCCATAGGCGTAGGCAGTTGGCAAATACTTTGAAAATATAATTTACTGTTTAGTGGTGATAATGGAATTCAAGCATGGGAAAGTTATTCACAGCCAGGCAAGGGAAATAATAGCAAACGTGATACGTGCTTGCGATGCAGAAGCGGCTAACAATACTTTCGTTTATCCACTGGTAGCTAGAAATGCAAGGGCGGCATATTATACGGGTGTTAGTGAACGAACTATAAGTAAAATTAGAAAAGAAGATAAAGACAGGCAAAATGCAACCTCCACACAGCCTTTAGCTTCTCCCGGAAAAAAGAGATCACGCCCTTCTGTGATCCAAAAAATTGATGGAGTCGATTTTTCCATTATTCGGAGAATGATAGAAAAATTTTACTGTGATTTTAAAGTGGTACCTACTTGTAGTAAACTTCTAATCAAACTGAAGGAAGAAATGGAATTTCCATTTGGTAAAGAATCGTTGAGGCTGCTTTTAAAAGCAAAAGGATTTTACTGGCGTAAATGCCACAACAAAAGGAAATTACTAATGGAAAGACCCAGTATTTTACATTGGCGATACAAGTATCTTAGGTCTATTAAAAAGTTCCGGGAAGAAGGAAGGCATATTATTTATTTGGACGAAACTTGGGTTGATAATGACCTCACTTTCAAGAAATGCTGGCAAAGCGAAGAAATTATGGGTGTCCTGAGCAATATAAGTTCTACAGGTAATAAAGTTTCTTTCACCTCGATTTTGCTTATTATACATTTTTCTCAATTTTGGAATATTCTTAATAAGTGCTCATTTAATTTGTCTAATTGAATACATAATCCCTTGCAAGTATTTTTTTCTCAAAAATATGTTTTTTATACATAGTGATTCAAAAAGGTGTTGGCAAACTTAAAATAACACTAAAATGAGGCTATTTATTCATTTCCAGGACGACTTATAATTGTTCATGCGGGTTCGCAAGATGGTTTTGTTCCTGGAGCCTGTCTCATTTTCAAGGCTGGCTGTGCCACTGGTGATTATCACGGTCAAATGAACCAAGAAAATTTCACGAAGTGGCTTACTGAAAAACTATTTCCTAACATTCCTCCTAATAGTATTATAATAATGGATAATGCACCTTACCATTCAGCTTTGGAAGACAAGCCTCCAACTAGATCTTCTCTAAAAAGAGACATCATCACGTGGTTGAGCAAAAAAGGTATAGAGCATGATCCTAATGCTAAAAAAATGGAGCTTTATGAAATAGCTTGTCTACATAGGCCACCATCTGATGAGAAAAATTATAAGATAGATAATTTAATAAGAAGTTTCGGACACACCCCACTTCGAACGCCACCCTATATGTGTCAGTTTAATCCCATAGAGATGATTTGGGCACAAGTAAAATTTTTCATTAGAAGCCATAATACAAGCGGCGAATTTACTATAAAAAAACTAGATGAAATTTCTAATAAGGCCATCGCTTCAGTAAGTGCCAGTGACTGGCAAAAGGTTATTGGACATGTTATAAAAATTGAAGATGAATATTGGGAAAAAGACAGTCTCATTCAAGAAATACAGGAAGAAATAATAATCAACATAGGAGGTGAAAGTGATAGCAATGACAGTTCCTCAGACAGTGATCATGACTCTAATCAGGATTGAAACTATACTAGATTGGCTACCTTTTAGAATTTTTAGATATTCATTTATTATACTATTGGTTTGTGGCTTTTAGTATCTCAGTAGAAAGTCTAATTCTATGTGTTGTTTATGGGTTATTTCATCAAGAAATTACTTTTTGTTTTCCTATATTTTTCTATTCAGTCAGATATTTTTGACTTGTTGTATTCTATTTTAGAAGAATGCATAATTTGTTTTGCTGTTCAATCATAATGCGTACATAGGAATATTACTTGTTGCCTAAAAAATATATTTATTTTGTTCTCAATATTCAGTGTTTGTGTATATTTATTTCTTATAATGTATGTTTGGTATCACGTCATTATGAATCGCAAAAAAATATTAATACTACCAGTTGTAATAAAATATAAATTCAATTAATAATTCAAGTCTCTCCGATCTCCGCCTATGACTCCATATAAAATCGTCTAATGGTAAGGTTTTTTCATCGCATTTCCCCCTTTCGTCCCTAGCAATCTTTGGCTGGTCGATCTATAAGTATTTATACAAAATTTTATTAAAATAAAACCATTTAAACTGGGTGTTCGGATTTATATGTCACTTAGTATATATTTAGTGTGTATCTTTCAGCATATCCTATAAACAATCTGTACAGTTATTTCTGATGTTGAAAATTGAGGACACAAATCAGGTATAAGAATTTTCGTTATTACAGAAGCATTATACAGTTTAATAAGTTACCTCAGATCGATGCGATAAGGAAGTAGATAAAGAGAAGAGAGTGAAAACCATTGCCTCTGAACGGAAACGGCCGCGAAAAACCGATATTTGGGAATGCGTGATTTATTAAAACAGGCAAACAACCTTTTTGACCATTAGTGGCAATTTATACTTGAAGGTGTTACAATAGATCGACGCTCGACAAATGTACCCTTAGAGGCTTAGTTAATCGCATCATTCTGCAGTTTTCGTGTCATTGCTGAGTACGTGCAAGATTTTTGATCAGACAATAAAATATTTAGATATCTGCTTCTATTTGCAGGCTAGTTAAAGTGGTATGTCTTGTCTGGTGCAGGCTGATTCCCAAAAGTGGTACATAAGGGGTGGCTTGTTACCGTGAAATAATAATGTACATAACTAACTAACAAGGTCTGGCACTAGCGCCCTCCTTGACTCATTTACCTTCACCTTTTAATTTCTACATGGGTTCTTTTTGTAGGTACACAAGTACTGAGCATTATCAGAAGTCCAAAATTCTATTAAAATATGTCATCAGGAATGGTGGCACTAGACTAAAAACAGAGTTCCCATATCAGAGCACACTAGACAATTTGAATTGACAGAGAGTCTGAAAATGCCATTTTTAAAATAAAATATATCACTTCGAGCAATTATCGTTGCACAAGAATTGTAGTCACGCTACCTGCTATCATTTTTAACATCGTAGTGCATACTTAAAAAATGTCCTCCATATTGGATTCAGAATTACATCACCTTGCTTATTCTGCGTCTCTCATCAAGCCCTTCCATTTGATACCCATAATATAAATTGAAGAATAAATATCTGTATTTTGCGTTCATCGTCGTGATATTAGAACACGCATTAATTTATTGCAGCAAATGTACCAAACAGCTGACAAAAACAAAATACCAGGAACTTTTTGTTTTTTCATACCGATAAGGTTTAATCTGTATCGTAGGTGATCTTAATGAAGAACGGTCGATTTTTGTGAAGTTAAATAAGAAAGTACTTTGTGAGTTTATGTTTTTAGTTATTTATCAACAAAAACGGCACATGTGTACACTAATGAGGAGTTAGTGGACATTGCTTTAGCGTACGGAGTAACAAGGCAAAATTCGCAAGCGGCTTCTCGTTTGTATGCACACCGATTTCCGAATAGGCACATACCTGATCACGAAACATTAAGTTCAATTGTCTTATGTTCACGTGCTAGTGGAGATTTGCGCTCCAGAAGTGGAGCGGATGGGGGTCGGGTTCGACTACAACGCGTTTTAAATGCCGAAGACGAAATTTTGGATATCGTGGAATAAAATCCGGGAATAAGCACAACACAGTTACTCTAACAGGTCACATGCAACAGCATCGCGCATATTACATGAGGCCCAACTGTATCCTTATCACGTCCAGAGAGTGCAGACGTTGCTACCTACAGACTACTCCCTAAGAGTAAGATGTGAGTGGTTGTTGTAAGAAAATGCTCGAAATGCCCGTTTTACAGCTGATATTTTGGACACCGATGAAGCTATTTTTACTCGTAATGGGATAACCAATCTTCATAATACACACGTTTGGTCCTTTGAGAATCCTCACGCAGCGGTCCAGACAGACTTCCAACATCGTTTTGCTTTAAACGTGTGGGCAGGTATTGTCGATGAACATCTAATGGGACCGTTCATATTGCCAAATCGGATGGATAGTCACCAGTATTTGCAATTTCTTCGTAGTGATTTAGTGATCCCTGTTGAAGAGGTGCCATTGGCGGTCCGAGCACGAACGTGATTTCTGCACGATGGGGCACCTCCGCATTTTCGTCTACAGTATATTCAGATAAGAGATAGACCGGATGTAAACAAAAGGTTCGGGTGATTTTCACGCTAACGCCGCCGTCTCGACGTAAAACAGGAGCTCTCATTGGTCAATTCGCAATTAAATGCCTATGCCGAGCGGCAGAGCAGTCGTATCAAGGCAGAGTCACATTCAGGTTCAGACGTGTTACGTATGTCGTGTGCATCATTGCAATTTGATATTTCTTTGGACGTTTTCGTTTGTTATCTTATTAAGTTGTTGAGTTTGTCGTTGTTATTGTTATACCTTGTTATTGATTGTTATTGTTATCAACTGCTTGCGCATAATGCCCAGTAGTACAGATACTGCCGATGAAGTTGTAAACTCCTGTAGTCCACCTAGGAAACGCTCTAAAAAAACACACCTGAGTGCAGAAATGAAAGAGGTCATTTTGAATATATATAAGATCGAGCGCGAGGGGAACGAGGCATCAACCATCAAAGAAATTGTTGTGAAGGTTTCTCACAAAGTTGGGGTGTGTCGCGCATCAGTGTTTAATGTGTTAAGACAATACCAAAAAAATCACACCTTTTCTGAGCCAATGACCAGTAAACATCGCAAAAGTATTGTTAAATCATTGGATGAAGCTGATAAGCATGTGATTAGGAGGAAAGTGCATGAATTCTTCTTTAGGAATGAAATACCTACTATAGATAAAGTACTGCAGGAGGTAAATGGAGATACAATGTTGCCAAATTTCAAACGATCAACTTTCCATGCGTCACTGATGCATTTAAATTTCAAATGGAAAAAACGGGGTCGTAATAGTTTACTACTGGATAGAGAAGAAATTGTGCTATGGAGGAGGGATTATTTAACAAAAATTGGGAAATATAGAAATCAAAACAGGAAGATTTATTACCTTGATGAAACGTGGGTAAACGCAGGACACTCTACAAGTAAAGTATGTGTTGATGATTCTGTAACTTCATCCAGGAGGGCCTTTCTAGATGGACTGTCCACCGGATTAAAAAATCCAGCAGGTAAATACGAGTAATAGACAACAATCGGATGTTTTTCAAACCTTGGGAACAAGGTTCTAAACATTAATTCCAGGGGGCAGATAAAACATATTACAAGTAACAAAACTTTTATAACTTTCGATAAAATGCGTGGATGTTTTATTGTCATTTTCATTTGTTAGAACTTTTTTAAGCCATGTTTTTATGTGTTTTCGATATTTCAATAACTTTTTAATATAATCTTAAAATATGTCGAATATTATAAACTTAAAAAAAGTTACTAAGTTTTATATTGTGTACCGTTCCTAATATTTATAATCATTTTAATTCATACTTTAAGCTTTATAAAGTTATAATTTGTTAATATTAATATTTGCGCGTATTTCAGGTACCTGATCATTCATTTTTTAAAGGTTTATAACTTTAAATTAAATTGTGAAGCGCTGAGTAATCATACGACGTTCAATATTCTTTCTTTCAATATGACTAAATAATCCCAATTATAGCAATCTGATACTCATGTCTCAATGTTTTTTCGCTGAATGTGATGAAAACATTTGAAAAAGGTTCGCTTATTGGAATAAATCTACACCAGTTAGTACTTCGATTTCCAGGTAAAGGGAAAAGGCTCATTATCTGTCATATTGGCAGTGAGGATGGATTTGTTGTTGACGGTCTGTGGTGCTTTGAGTCTAAGAAAACTGGAGATTACCGCGAGGAAATGAATGGCGAATCGTTTGAACAGTGGTTTTCAAAAATTTTACCGAACTTAGAGGAAAACGCAGTAATTGCGTTTGATAATGCGCCTTATCATTCTCGAAGAATGGAGAAGGTCCCAACAACGGCTTCAAGGAAAGTTGATGTTCAAAATTGGCTCCGCTCGAAAAATATCAACTTTGAAGAAGCAATGCTGAAAGTACAATTATTAAGAATTGTCAAGGATCACAAGGCGGAATATCAAAAATACGCCATTGACGAAATGGCAGCAAGTCAAAATAAAACTGTGCTCCGTTTACCTCCATACCATTGCGAGCTCAATCCCATTGAGCTCATATGGGCAGAGGTTAAAAATTATATAGCTAAGCACAATACAACTTTTAAATTTTGTGACCTCAAAGGACTTTTCAAAGAAGCACTAGAATTAATAACAGCGCAAAAATGGGAAAACTGTATTAAGCACGTGAAAGACAAATTTGAAAAGAGAATGTGGGAACTGGACAATATTTTAGAGGAACAAGTCGAGCCATTCATTATTGACGTTGGTGCTTCAGGCAGTAGCGATGATGAAAGCTCATCAAGCTCATCTTTCCAATAAAAGATGTCGTTCATCAAATTCGGTAAGTTATAAGTAATTATAAAGCTACTGTATTTTTTAATTAATTATTGACATTTTTGAACCCATTTTGGCAAAACCTATTCAAGAATCTACTTTCTGACAATGTTCAACCATGCACATTTTTTTACGTTTTGAACGTTTTAATTTGGTTACATATTTACCTAGAAATCAAAAAATATACTAATCAATATTCTAAAAGCAATTTTAAGAGATATACGATTATTTTTAATTTAGGCTAATTTAAACGCTATTTTGAGATTATATTCGACTGTATTTCACCAAACATCAGGCGGCATCCGAAGCTGGAAATCGAAGCGAAAATTTTGAAACTCTTATGTATATTTACATCATTATATATTTCTTACCCCACCCCCACATGATCCTATATCCATCACCAATCGTATACACATCGAATTGTGCCAATTTACTACAAAGTTACGCAAAGCAGCATCTACTATCTAAAATATGTACTGCGTGACTCTTAATACGTCCCTGCCGAATGTTACAGCGTTCGATGATCACGTGGTCTTGTTTATGTCCGGTCTATCTCTTATCTGAATATACTGTAGATATTCGTGATTTTTTGAATCAGTTATACCAGGTACGCTGGATCAGAAGGGGTGGACCAATTGCATGGCCTCCGCGGTCACCCGATCTAAATACTCTGGACTTATTTTTATGGGCATACTTGAAAAACGAGGTATACGGTACTCCAGCTTAGATTTTATAAGTGAGTGATCTGTTAAACTGTATTATTTGATTGTCTCGATTTCTGTAGGACTTTTATTACATTTTTATTGAGTAATAAACTTCTTTCGTAACAGTGCATCAGTGGTTAAAATTTAACGGATAAGCTGTGAAACACCCTGTATATAGTTGACTATGAAAATTATAATCCATTATGCGCAGATGCAATTGGTTGAGGCTAAATGGTTCAAAACTGGGTTTTAATATTTGTCATACACCTACATACTAACAGACTAAAAGGACAAGTTAAATTGAAGCTTGTAAGCACCTTGATTACAGTAGACTGTTATGAGTATCATCATGTTATGGTTATCTCATTTTTCTGATTATCGCTGACACTGGATACGACTCCTAAAGTCATACCTATGCTTTCTTCTTTTAGCTAAACAACTTTTCATCAAAACGGTCAAAGATAATTAGTCTTTTTATGGTTAATGTTGCCCTGCTCCACATTTCCAGATATGTTTCGATCTTCAACCACCTCTTGACAAATTTTGTATCGCAGTCAATGCGATACATACCAAATTATAGAATAGTCAAGGGACTCGATGACACTAGGACTTTCGTTTTGTCAAAAATACACTTCTTTATTACCTGGGTTTTGTTGAACTACTAGAATCTAGTGCCTATTCTCCACTGTGCACGAAGCATTCATGTGGTCATGCATGTTTCGACCGGAGCCTAGGTATCTTCAGTACCACTGGGCAAGCTAATCCTTTCAAATAGGCAGCTCCACTTGTCGCGATCTTTGGAAGTTGCTACTACAATACGAAAAAATCTGTAAAGCTAATGAGCCTCAATAGATAAATAGATAAATATATTGCTGTTGTATACACAGATTTATTTGATCCGGAGAAAATGATGTCGGAGTCAGCCAGATTCTGTGCCCGCTTTGCGACCTTTATGTTCACGGCTTACGGAATGGTGGGCGTAACCGCACATGTGTCCGCCCTTTGGAGGCTGGACACCGAACAGCACGGCAAGTACTTCGAAGGTAACTCGTCTTGTGATGACTTCATACCGTACGTTTTTGTGAATCCCTTTGACGACGGCAGTATAAGGGGTTGCAAGAATGCTCTGTTGATGATGGATATCTGCTTTTATATTCTTTCAACATATATGGCGGGTAAGTTTCAGGATTACCTTTTCACTTTCTGTGATAAATCCTAGATATCGAGGTATGTGATTCTCGTAAATAGGTATAAGTAATATCAGTACAACTTTTGGATCAGTTGACGGGATACCCAAAATAAATGAGTATACTGTGTATACAGTTCGTTAATTAGAGTGTGAGGCAGAAACCAACTCGTAAGGCGACAGAATAGCACTGCATGCAATTTTCAGCCGACTGACATACTCGCAAGATTGAGATCGACTTAGGAAATAATTTTAAATACCAATAAGAGTATAAATATAATAGAAAGTTATTGTGGATGTGTTGTGTTAGCATGTAATTATCTGGTCACTTGGATTGTATCAATGCTTATTACAACAATTTTCATCAAAACACAAGTACCACACTATGCCTTATTTTGTTGTGTGTATTAACGATCACTTTTCTTTCAGCGAATAAGAGTTTTTGGAAGCGATCGTCATTAATTATAGTAATAATGATAATAATGTTTATTGGAGTATTATTACATAGAATAAAAATATGAGTAAATAATAGAAATAAAAAAATAATACCTCAAAAGGATGGAGATTGTCACAGCCATTTTTCACCCCCGCCTCTGCATCTAATGTAGATAACATTATTCGCAAAGTGCAGTACCATATCTTAGTAAGGAAAAACATATACATCATATAAGGACATGCAACTGATAGGTATAAATATCTACAGAATTTTGAATGATTATAATAGTAAGAATGAGATGTAATTAACCACTGGTAAATTCACTAAATTGTAACAGTAGCAGCATTTTTTTTAATTCTCTTTAAAAGCTGTGAATGAACGCAAGTTCAAAAAATTTTGGATATTCATCTAGTATACTAGGCGCTGAGTAAACGGAACATTTTTTAAATTTTGACGTAGTGTGGGTTAGTAATGTATATTGTCACAATAGTCATTACGGATGACTAGCTGATGGAGTGAAGATCTTCTCTCTAGAGTGTCAGAATGATACCTCGGAGATTTATTTTTAAGACCTTAGATAATAGAGCAGCATACAGAATATTCAGCAATGTGTTCATGTCTGTTTATCTTATTGTAACAAAATCTCATTTGTTAATATATACTGATATGTAGCGATTTGTATTTATAATAACATAATCTGAACCTTTTCATGTCTTTCAAAACTTAAATTTTTATCTAGTAATATTCCCAAATTTTTAGATCCCTCGACTAATTTATTGTTGATAGCCCCTAAAAATTTGTTTGTATTTACGAGTTCTTTGTACTTTAGAATCGCTAGTCTAGAACCAATACAACATACTTTGGTTTTTAACCTTGTTTACTTCTCATTCTTTTGCTTTTATTTATCCGCCGTGATTAGTGAAGATCTTAATGGCAATAACAAACGTTGCATTTATGATACCCACAAACTCTTTTGTTTATAGATACATAATTATTTCAGGATATGATGCAATTTTCTGCTGTCTAATTGTTTGTCTGGATACGCAGCTACAAATACTAAGTATAGCAACAAAAAATGTTCGTGAGAGATTGTTGACTGGATCTGGTTTGTCCGAGGAATATAGAATGAGTCACGACAACGTGTCCCCTGACTTTGAGAAAAGATTATACATGGAAATCAGAAAATGCAATCGCCATCTTTCATTTCTGTTGAGGTACATTTTCATTTTTGATGCTAATTAGTCTAAAATTTAGATCTACAGAGATACTAAGATACCAGACAAAATATTTTAGTATGTTTTCCTACCTGCTCTTGAATCTAGTGTTGCTGTATATGGATATGAACTACATGCAATTTAACTGGAGTTTTTTAATGTTGTTTGATTAAAATATAAAAACCGATTATAAGAAAACGTCGAAGGTTTTATGTAATTTGATTGAAATGCACAAGCTACTGGATGCAAGGGATAATATAGACGTAATAATCTTAATAATGACAATAATAACATTTATTGACCCACAGATTAAGTCCCCTCACAGAACAAAATGTAAACACATAATAGAACTTAAGTCTTTAATACTACAATTGAAAATATCTGCATGTTGTGAGATTTCATCATAGTTTGTCAGGATTATCCATAAAGGTAAAAAATAGTATGATGACTGGAATTGAATTGAACAACCTATTCCACCGTGCAGGTCAGTGTCCCTCTGAACTCCAAGCTATACATGTCATAAAGATTCAAAAGAAGTTGGTATTCTATACCTTGTTCTGGAGAAATATGCAAATGCTAGATATCTGAACAACTTTCTCTGAACTGTCTCTTTTCCTTGTGAGACAGATAATACGGATTTCAAACGTTGGAACAGTACTCCAGTTTTCTACGCACTTAACTTTGAAATAAGGTCTTTAAGGTTGTTTCATTGTTGAACGATCGACAACGTCTTACTGTAAGGCCATACATTTTGTGTGTATCCGCAATTTTAGTATCAATATGATCGATGAGATTGATCTTCGAATTGAACAACACGCCTAGATCTTTTATGGATGTGCAACGCTCCAAATGTGTCTATAAACGCTGTAGTTGAAGACTAAAGGTGCTTTTTTCTTAGAAAAACAGTTCTTCTTTTTGATACGTTTAGTGCCAACCTACGAGTATTGCTAACACACGCTTCATGAATATTATTGGGTGTTCTTTGCAATCATGCATAGTGATCACTTCGCAAAATATTTCCAAATCATCTGCATAGAAAACCCATTCGAAGTAATTACACTATGCAGATCATTTATAAATAGGTTAAACAGAAGTGGGCCCAAGTTTGACCCTTGTGGAATGCCTGAGATTACCTTGTAGGTGTTGGAACTGTGGCCATTATAAATACATTCTGTAAGAATAGAGGGCCACTCTCTTGAACATATTTCGCATTTTTAGGATCAGCCAAGACATAGACGAGATATTCAGTTTCACCATGTTGCTTCAATGTCTTACGTCAACATTCATGATAGCATCAAACCTGTACGTTGCTTCTATGACATCACCGGCAGATCCAGAGTTTTACTCGATGACTGAGTTTATGTTGGCAGCTCTGGCACAGCTCTGCATGATTTGTCATTTCGGCAATAGAATCACTGAAACGGTAATTACCAAGATTGCTACTGCTACATTGTTTAGTTTAGTTCACTTGGTCACATGATTTATAAAGGTAAATATAGTTCACAGAATCAACGAATTCGGATAGATTAGGAGAACTCAAGTTATATCGCCTTGTTTGTCGTCAATATTGTGCAGTTTTAGTGCATACTTTTGGATAATTTGTATACTATTGCCTATCAAATTGACAAACCGACATACATTCATTTATCTGGAAAGGATATTAAAGTTGCTATTCGTACTATGTGTACCTATGTGGAGCAAGGTAGAAATACTGTCTGTGTTGCGAGGTGAATGGTTCATTCATTGTTAATAAACAGATATAAATCAAATAAAGGAAAGTAAATATTTATCAACGGTACAGCATATGAACAATTCTGCTCAACACATTGCCGGCAGTAATCTGGTTGGACAACAAAGAATGAGACAACGTGCTTTTCAATCTAAAAAGTTGGCAGGAACGAAAAAACTCTTCATATGAGATTTTTAGGTATTCATGAGTCCCACAAAATGAGACCATACGTAAAAAGATCCGATTAATAGCAAAAAAGTTATGGTTTCTCGCAGATAGTTGAAATTCGGAGGATTCTTACTTCTAAATAACCACAACAAAATTGGAGTAGATTGGTCAAGTAGCGTTTGAGAATTTCTAATTGTTTATCCCAAACACCTGTCTTCCGGCCATCACTACTAGTTTAATGAGCAATGTACAGGGTTAATTCAAAGTGCATTTTATAGCAAAATACACTAGTTTACCTTGCCGACAAGAATCGCAAGCCATTCCGGTAGATAAATGTTATTTTTATGTGAAAAGGGGCTACGTTTTTTCTTCTAATCAAATTTAAACATTTCGTATTTGTGACTAATTCGCAACAAAAGATGATAGACACATCCGCTTTGTTTTAGAATGTGTATGTTTTTCGAATATCCTAGCGCATTTGTTCAATTACTCACAAATACGGAATGTTTGAATTTGTTTTTTTCGCATAAAAATAATATTTATCTTTCGGAATGGTTTGTAATTCATATCGGCAATGTAAACACGTGTATTTTGCTATTAAATGGTCTTCGAACGAACAGTGTATTTTGCTCATAAACTAGTAGTGATGGACGGAAGACTGGTGTTTTGGAAAAATAATTAGAAATTTTCAAAAAACTACTTGATATATACATAATCCAATTTTGTTGTTGTCATTTAGAAGTATGAATCCTATGGACTTCAAGAATTTCAAGTAGTTGCGTGAAATCATCGTCGCATTAACATTACCATTACCAACAAGTGCCAAAACCTGCATTTTGCCTCGTTTTTCGACGATAACATTTTTGCTATTAGTCGGATCTTTATACGTGTGGTCTCATTTTGTAGGTCTGATAAATACCTAAAAATCTCGTATGAAGAGTTTTTTTGTTCCTGGCAACACTTTTGTTTGAATCCCAAAAACACGTTTTCTCATCCTTTGTTGTCAAAAATTTTTCCCACAAACATTGGTGTAGCCATTCTATGCGCCCATGTTTTGAATACCCCTTTGAACAACTTTCACCAATTATTTCGGCCGGCAAAGTGTTAATTCGTGATTTTGGAGGGTAATCAAAACATTATCTCCATCAGACAGCACTAATGGCGGAATACCTAATAATATTTCGCAGTTCTCAATTTTGTTGTATACAATTCTGCTAACAAACCTTAGACCGCGACTTAGCGTTCAATGAAACAAGAAGTGGAATAAAATGAATCAAAATCACATCACATCTGTCCAGGTAAAAGCCCAATGTTGAGGTACATGCCCTTTCGCAATTCCGATGACTATAATATATAACACCTATCGATAGAAAGATTTGTTTTTATTCAGCTTAAACTGCTTTTTACAATCAACAGACACCTTCAGCATATTCTGCAACTGTCTGGAACACTACGATTGTATGGAACCCGTGCACTATTACGAGTATATTATACAATGTGTTTGGTCACGACATACCGATATTTGAGGGGGATATTTTTCAGCTATTTTCATCGACAAATCGACTCCCTACAAGGTCATACCTCACCCCCCTTGAAATGGATCCATACCGCTACGAACGAAATTAGGGCTGACATGGATATGGTCACGACACATTGTTCTAAGAACAACAATGTGCATAACCAATAATGGAGGACATTTTGAACCGCTTCTGTAACATTCAACATGTCCAAACTCTCTATAAGGAACATTGGTTTGTCATTTTTATGTATAAAAAGTTTGAAAACAATTTGCGTTTTATTAAATCTATTTTGACCCGTGTTAGATAGCATTTATTGCTTAACGTAGAATACTTAGGATAACAAAAAGCAGTAGAATTACCATAAAAAAGTACATCTTCAAAGACTAGTTTTTGAATGGTGTGCGAAAATGCACAAGATAATCAATTTTATTCCACATTTTTTTCTGTTTTTGTCAGTTTTTAAGTATGTTTGACGGTTAGTATCAAAACAAGTTTTTCAATAATCGCTAGGACAACATGTCATCGTTCAAATGACAATTACGTACTCAGTTATTACAATTTTCATACATGCACTACCGTAATCGTAACGTACAAATAAAAATGGCTGACATTTCAAGGGGGACATTGTAGGGGGGTGGATTTGTCGATAAAAATAGCTGAAAAATACCCCACTTAAATATCGGTCTGTCGTGACCAAACACTTTGTATATATTATAATTTAATGCGAAATGTCACCAACTGTCAAACTGGCGGCTCAAGCCTAACAGATTTGTAGTTTGCACTGATTACATAATTTTGGTTACAAACAAATCATGTACTTGCTCCTTCTACCTAGTCCGAATTCGTTGAGAAGAATCTAAATTACTTATCTGCTAGGGGTTACTTTGTTACTAGATGGTCATTTGGAAAGTGCCTGGACTAGCATGCCAAAGGCATTGAAATCAGACAAGAACTTGCTTTGCTAGCATACTAAACACTCCCTATAAACACAAGCACAGCTTCAAGCTGATCTGAAAGTTTTCTATTCACGATGGTTGGAAGTTGGGTCATTCCATGTTGCCTTGGAAAATGAAAAAACTTCAATCTTGTGCGCTGATTAAATTTTTGTACAAAAAAGAACTGAACGGAGATGACTTTTATACTGATATGGTGAATGTATTAGGAAGTGATGCTTCGTGATGCAGTATTTAATCTACACACACTACATTTAAACGTGGTCGTCAGATGTATATCGCAAGGCAGTGGATGCCCAAAGACTACCAACAATGATTTTGCTGAATCTGTGGACGACATAGTTTTAGCACAGAATAGGTAACCAGAAGCTACACGGAGGAAAAACCGCCATTGCCATTTTCAGCCTCCGATAGATAAACAATCGACTACGGTAGGTCACGAGCACCGACGTTTTCAGCATCAAGCGGCGGTAAATCGATGCGTATTTTACACATATGATTAACCTGTATGGACAACTCTATGTACAGTCTGAGTACGAAATTCTTGGGAATGACTCATTACTGCTACCTATGGCAGTCACATTGGGTGGAGCGGTGGAGGGGGATTTTTCATTTATGTCCGAACTAATTTTCATAAAAAGTGTCAATATGTGATAGCAAAGTATTTCATTTATATCCATTTATTTAACCAGATATTTTAAATGTAGGAGTATATAACAATGTAACTATGAAGATAGTAGGATAAATTTGGGTAATTTGTACCATTTGACTTATGTGATTGGATGATGATTTGAGGAAAGATTATTTTACATGTTTCTATAAAAATGCACAGCAAAAAATGTATGTAAGCTCTGAGCGTTTACCAAAAGCATTAGATTTTCATTGCTTAGACAGAGAGACCATACGTCAGACAACACGTGAACATCACAAATTAAATTAGGGTATCAGGATAAATAAAAAAAACATCAGCTATGAAACCTATGAGAATCATCGATATGGATCACATTGATGAAACAGAAAAATTATCATAACAAATAAACAATATTTGGTTATTCTAAGGACAAAAATCACAAATATATCACACAATGCACCTAAACATATGTTTTGTAAGATGTGCAGGTACAATTTAATAAACTAAATGGAGGTACAAGTTGCCGAACCAGCTTGATTGACACAAATTATTTCTTTTTAACGGCTTAAATCTGAAAATATGGAATATACGACATCTTAGCATTATTCCAATAAACACATCCGTTATGATACTTACTGTTATTCCCAAATCATTATCAAAGGGAATTATCATGCATTACAGTTCCATTGTACTGTGACGAAACCAAATATGCATCTGGCCAAAATTATAATAAAAAACACTGTTGTATAGTTATGTCATAGAAAAAGAGAGACTTACCTGTGGGTGTTTTCAGTTCTGAAGAAAATCCATCATCGAAGGCCTGTCGGTAACTGGTAATATTCAAATCTTGCCATACCTTTGGCATACTGCATCTTTGATTCCCCCACGTTTCATCAAGATGATACATATATTTTTCTATTTTCTCCTATGTACCAACGTCGCCACATCACAATTTTTTCGATTCCAATCAGGCATGACTTCCTCGTCCTCTTTAAATACCTAAAGTTTAACTTTCTTTTTAAAACCCTCATAGAAGTTTACGTAATACTGCTGTCCATTACAATTTAAGCTGCAATCTTTTGTATGGTAGGCATAAAAAAAAGAATTTATGTGACTGCAGATAGCTCATTTGTTATCCTTATCTGGAACGATTTTTCTTTCACACTCTTTTGTTAAGATGCTACAAAGTAAAGCAGCATCATGAACACCGAGTATTTTGTATCGCGCACGAAGTATGTCGTAAACGTTGTCTATTAACTCTCTATCCCACTATGTAGTCGTGTTAGAACTATTCTCCTTAGGCTACGCCACAGGAATGATCAGAACAATGTGATAACTCTTTACAGGGTTGTCGTATTGATATTATAGTCGGCAATTCCATGTTACCAAACTGACGTTTTACAATTTCCTTGTGTGTGGTCAGTCAGTGCAGAAATTTTATTTTGTGCCATATTCATAGTCCTACTACTGTTTGTCCATCTGGGTATACGTTTCTTAGTTCTAACTAGTTTTAGATTATATAGTTTTTTGAAATGGATAGGTAAATTCATTTTTGAAACCTGACAACTGCGGTTTTTGAGCAGCATAGATGAGTCTCTGCCAAGAATTTAGTACTCAGACCATTGCCTCTGATAAGATGGAAATTGTTTGTTGGATTTAAGCGAAAAATTTAGTCAAAGGATCGACTACCTGCTGGACTAAAATCATATGTACAAGGCGCAATACATCGGCATGTATACGTAGATTATTGGGATGTGCTTACTATGTGTGTATGTCATTCGGTCTGGGTCGTGCCAATGAGCATATAAAAACTATTACAAAAGCCCTCATGCTATCCAGAACCTAAGAAAGAAATTATCCTATTACTTGTTGCTCCGACGACATTGGTGAGAGCATTAGTCAAAGTATTCTATCATTGGCATAGCCGAAGCTCTGTGCCTAGAAGCTCTGTGCCTAGAAGTCGGTGAAATTTTTTAAAGCCTTTGTTCTGACTGAAAACAGTCATCCACATACAGAATCTATTTTGTCCATGATATAATTAAGCACTTGAATTGTGAACAATGCACAGACGCCAACCGCGCTGAAAGAAGAGTCCGACCCTGCACCGCTGCTTCTGGCTGAAGTGAGAAATTCTGAAGAAAAGATCATGTTTCCACACACATCTTCCTTCGGGACACATAACAATGCGAAGAATCTCTCAAATACCTTTCACATTACTTCACAATTCTTCAAACTTAGTACCTTCTGACTTTTATTTGCTTTGGTACTATCGGGTGATTATAAGTTTTGATTTTCAAATAAAACGATTAAATCTTTATTTGAGTCGATAGAACGGTCGATATAATTTAATGTTTAAAGACTATTTCATGTAAATGTTGGCCGCGGCTCCGCTTTAGATGGCCCATGCGCAAGGTCCAATTTTGGCACACTCTCTCCAACATATTGGCCGGTATTTCACGAATAAATGCTTCAATATTGGCTTCCAGTGCGTCAATCGTTGCTGGTTTATCCCTGTAGAGATTAGCCTTAACATGGCCCCACAAGAAATAGTCCAACGGCGTTAAATCACACGATCTAGGCGGCCAATTGACGGGCCCCAAACGTGAGATAAACTGTTCACCGAACTAGCCTCTCAATAGGGCCATTGTTTCGTGTGCGGTGTGGCATGTGGCACCGTCTTGTTGAAACCACATGTCAGCCAAGTCCATTTTGGGCAAAAAAAAGTTTGTTATCATCGCACGGTAGCGCTCGCCATTCACAGTTACGTTCCGGCCATTGTCATCTTTGAAGAAGTACGGCCCGATGATGCCACCGGCCCATAATCCACACCAAACAGTGATTTTTTCGGGATGCATTGGTAGCTCTTCCAATGCTTCTGGCTGGTCTTCACTCCAGATGCGGCAATTTTGCTTGTTAACGTACCCATTCAACCAGAAATGAGCTTTGTCGCTTAACACAATTTTTCGAAAAAAATGTGGATCTTCCTCCAACTTTGCCAGCGCCCATTCACCAAATTGGAAACGTTGTGGGAAGTCGTGTGGCTTCAATTCTTGCACCAGCTGTATCTTATGAGGTTTTACACCCAAATCCTGTCGCAAAATTTTCCACGTAGTGGAGTAACAGAGGCCCAATTGTTGCGAACGGCGGCGAATCGACATTTCAGGGTCATCACTAACACTGGCGGATACAGCCGCAATATTTTCTTCAGTCCTCACTCTATGTCTGCGTGTTGGTGGATTAATGCCCAATAATGTAAACTGGGTTCGAAATTTAGTCACAAACTTCCGAATAGCTCCCTCAGTAGGCCGACCAAATTGCCCATAAATTGGAAGCAGTGCTCGATGCACTCTCTTAACCGAGCATGAATTTCGATAGTAAAATTCAATAATTTGCAAGCGCTGTTCGTTCGTAAGTCAATTCATGGTTAAATTATAGACCAAACTGAACAAGTTTGACAATGACACAAGACACGATTCACGCGTCATCTGTCAAAAACAGTGTTGCCTAAAAGATACTAGCAAAAAAATCACCCATTATAACAATTTAAAATGCGGAAACTGTTTTTCATCAAACGGAGGATTTATTACATTCGCAAATGGATATCTTGAAGAGTATCCAAACAATCACTTCTGGAGGAGTAAAAATTGATTAGAAAATCGCTGGGAAAAATAAGGAGACTGTATTGAAGTATAAACGTATTTTCAAGGATCAACTAATCTTTTTTCATGTATAGTCCAACCACCTTTCAAATCACCTAGTATTACTTCTGGATCCCTGGGGTCCATTAGACAAGCTTTGTTTTTTTCCAGAGCTCATCCTATATTCGTTGCTTATATGAATGTAACTGGTATACTAGTAGCAAAAGATTCAAGCAGTGTATACTGATTATGATGATCCGTCTACAGATTCCTGTAGAGATGACTGCAGGGAAGTTTTTCCCGTTGAATTTGCCCACAATCATCTCGGTGAGTTATAACTGCAACCGAATTACTGTATTTTCACACTGTCAGTGTTCGTGAAAATTCAAATCGCTGATATTTTGGAAATAAAAAATAAAAGAAGATTGATTTGCTTTCAATTTTTTCGTGTGACGTAACATTCCAAAATTACTTTTGCCGGCTGGATTTGCAACGTCAATTTATTGCCGTTTTGCACTTTTGCATTGCTTGTAAAGTTATGCGATAATATGGCTTTGAAACTCTCTTCTATTTTAGGTTGTAAAAGGATCCTTCTCTTATTCAGCCATGTACAAAGCAGTGGGTCAAAGATAAGCATGACGAATTTCAATATCTGTAGGTTTTATCTACTGTAAATATATCTCATGTTAAATAAGCTTGCTAGATTGCGAAATCTTCAGATAAATATAATTGTGTTTTCTCATACATGTCTTTCATTGGTCATGACTCCCTTTCTGAAAAAAGTGAGCTCAATTCATGAAGCGATCCTTGGAGAACAAATAATACTACAATAGTATTAGTTCAAGATCGCATGGATCAATTAGACGTAGTACAGTAGTAGCAAAAGGTCCAAGCAGATATACAGATTATTTTGAGATGAGAGTAGGCGAGATGAATTTGCCCACAATTATATCAGTGAGTTGTAACTGCAATATAGTTACTGTGTTTCCATCCTGTCAGTGATCGAAAAAACTGAAATCGCTGATATTTTGAAAAAATAATATATTTATTTATTTTTATATAATATTTTTATTTTGTGTGACGAAACACTTCAAAATCACTTTTGTATCTGATGATACTACCAGGTTGAACTTGTAATGTCTATTCATTGCCATTTTTCTATTTCTAGATTGCTTGTGAAGGTAGGATAATATAGATTTGAATCTCCTTTCCTTTGCTATAGGTTGTAAAATGATACTTCTTCTATTCAGCAACGCACACGAATTTAAATATCTACATATATGTTTTATTTATAATAAATAAATTTCATGTTAGACAGCTTCACTAGTTTTATCTAGTATGTTCAAATAAATATAGTGGTCTTTTCCCCTCCAATGATTGTCATTACCTTCCGTGGAAAACTTTAAATAGGCTCTTTGATGAAGCTCTTTTTGGACAACAAATACTACCGTTTTGTTCAAAGACAAAGTATGAAAAACTACTTTTGCGCGTATATGTTTACAGGGTATCAAAAAATTGAAAGTTGAAGGGTAATCCTGTAACTGCAGATAGGTCACGTCACGTGAAATTTTGTTTCATCAAAGGTCTTATAGTTTTCGAGATTTTCAGCATTCAATTTTATTGTTGAAAAATAATAATATTATATAATAAAACAGTAGAGGGCCAATAACAATAATACCATCCAAAAAATACCAATGGTTGGCTAGCTTTTTTGACATGTTGGGACAGTTTTCGCACTTGATCCTCTCACTCTACAGGGTGTCAAGGTCGGACCTCAGAAGGGGTTTTAATAAAAATTCAAATTTTGGTGTGTCTTTTATATAGATATTTCGCCACCTCAAGGAAAAATAATGCTGAGCGAGATTGAATGCTAAATTCAAAAGCATCATTTCATCATGTAGAAGGCCATGGCGTGACCTATCTATCAATTTCGGGAAACCTTGTATACCAGGATATGAAGGGAACAAAAAATACTTTGTGACAGTTAAAATACTACGTGACACTATCCGTAATCTTCTGGAGTATCCCAGAGTTTGGACGGGAACAACGCTTATGGAACGCTTTAAAAGCCTTTTCTTATCTAAAAACAATATACCCGTGTATATGCTATAAGTTTCATGTATTATGCAAATTGAAACCTTAGATTTCCATTTTTCTATTTAGATTTTGCATATCTAAAGGGGAACGTGCACTACATACACCATACCCGTATATATACATAATATAACGTCATAAATATGCGGATGTAGGTAGGTATCTATCATCTCTAGAAAGCCTCATGTGTGGTAAATATCGATATTGATTTTTCTATTTATATGCATGGAATCTAAGATGACGAGATGTCTTATGCTCAAGCAAGGTAAACTTATACATATCTTTTAGGCGAATAATAGTGACAATACGACTTTGATGAAGAGACTCAATGATCTCCTAGAATTTATGGGCGATCTGCCTCATCTGTGCAACGCACCTTATTGACAAGTCATAGTGGCCGGCATGCTTCTAATTTCGTAATTTATTTATTAATATACTGCAAATTCAGCCAATTCTACTCTATTTCCTGTATCCGTTTTAATCATTGTATCAAGGTAAGGTGACGTTTTAGGACCAAGGTATGTTTATGGATTTTTCAATTCATTTTTTGAGGTACAAGTATTAAGGCTATTTTTAACAGTCTTGTATGTATTTAAGTCAACCCTACACAACAAAAAAAACTGGAGTATAATTTGAGATATACAAAAGCTACTAGAATCTTTGATGATTAGTGAAATATAATTTGAAAATACTCGATTCCCTCATTTCTTTCTACGACCTAACCTGAGCAGAACGTTGAAAAGCTGGAATTTCAAAAATGTTGCTCCTTTCATAAACATGTTTTTAACACGTTAAAAAATCATGACGGATCATGACGGAGATACAAAGAACTTAGAAAAGTAATCACTGTATCAGTTTCCAAATTCCGCAGAGCTTTTTTGTCTTCTTCAAGATCAACTTTGTATATTTTGTCAAAATCTGAGGAATACTTTACCGGACAGACAACAGACTACACAACGGTCTTTTGTGTAACAACTAATAAGCTATAATACCGATTTCGAAACTTTCCGAAATTATTGGCGGGGAAGTAAAATGTCCAACTCTTTATAGGATGTTTTATATTTTTTAAATAGAAAACCCAAATGTGCAAACAGTATGGAGCCAATTTACTTGAGTCCACTTTTTCGTGGCTTCAGTACAACATCATATTCCATTCACGAACAGAAGACGCGTCGTGGTTACTCCACAGAATAGAGGTATAAAGTATAAGTGGAACGTTGCGAGAAGCCTCAATAAAAATTACCATAGCTCATTTTTCCGAGCAGCGTGCCCCGTTTCGTAGCCGAAAAACAAATTGGTACCTGAATTTTAAGAAGGCGCTTCCACCTGCGCCCCGGGCCGTATGAAATGCCAATAAATTATTTTAAAGCATGGAGGAGCTCATAATGGCGGCAAGAGTACGAAAATTAATTTGCGATGGCCTTGAGTAAGGACACCAAAAGCGGGGATATACTGTAGATTGACTTTTACGTATCACTTCTTCCAAATGCCAGAGAATCATTGGATACGCGAGTTAATGAGACGTACTCATAAAACAAAGGATATCCTTGTACTTGCAAATTTTGAAGGAAATCCTCCAGATGGTATGTATAATAATTTGGAGTAAATGCTTTTGCTTGTTGAGTATAAGCATATCCTTCAAAGCAGTGACATAAGGAGGATATTCATAATCTTCACCTTATACTTGGCATAAGAGGCATATCCTTCAAAAATTCTGAGTGTGCTCAGTAGCAGGCCCAACTTCGTAACAAAAGGCACTGGCGTAGCCATGGGGGGGGGTTTTGGGGGTCAAACCCCCCCCATGGAACGCGAGCATCAGCATGTATTTATTATACATTCATACCCTTCGTTCGTATTACTTACATATTTCATAATAACACAATATAGATCGATAAATAACCTGATATAGTATCTACTATTTATCATAGTTTTCATTTACCTAAAAATCCAACCTAAATGCATTTTATTTCAATTTTCGGTTTAGGCTCTAAGGTTATTTCGCGCGAGCTTGCGCCACTTAAACTTTTGGTAACATCGCGCTCCTCGATCTCTTGATATTTATTCATCCAGACAGCCACCGAAGTTAAATTCTATACTCCAAATTTTTCATTTGTTTAGTGCATGCTAATTTGCTAATGTGTTAATGTGCTAGTTATATAACAAGTAAGCCCTAAGATTTAGAATATTCTTAATATAGCAAGCACCTACCAAGTAAATTAAAGGGAGGCTGTATTCTAGATCCCAAAAAGTTTCGTCCGCGGACCGCGACCAACGACCGCGACACGACGACAGCAGACACAGTTGCCAGATCGCTTCCATTTAGCGTGATTTAGTTCGATAATAATATTTAAGTACAGTATGTGTATTACTCTGTGCCTATGTATTAATGTATGAATTATATTCAGTAGAGAGATTCTCTTAGATGGTGCTATTGTTAAATAAGCCGGAGGGAGTAAAATAAAATAAATGTTTTTCTCAATGTTTCAGCAATGTTCTCGGATTACTCTGATATAGATTTCCCGATTTAAACGAATCAAACGATTTTATTCATTTTATTGACCCTTTCCACTTGTTTTAGCAAAATGGCTGATAGAAAGAAAAAACTTAATACGCTCGATTCTTTTTTTACGAAGAAGCAAAAAATTGGCGAGGACGAATCAAAGAATTCATCAACTTCTACCGCTATCGTTCAGGCAGACAACGAACAACCCTCCACTTCTCAATTTTCAGCCAGAGATCAAGATGATATAAATCAGCATGACACTGCTCACTTTGTAGGACATAAGGTTAATATCGATATCATCAAAGTTATTACTGACCTTTGGAATCTGAAGTTTCAGTATTGTTGGTTCCATCGTTGGAATTGGCTAGCATATTCTCAAAAAGAAGATGGTGCCTATTGCAAGTTTTGTGTTTTTTACGCAGAAACAGGTGGCGTTGGAAGCCAGTCTCTAGGGAAACTTGTGAAGGCACCTTTTAATAATTGGAAAGATGCAGTTGAAGCGTTTGATGAACACCAAGTCAAAGAGTACCACAAATTTAGTGTGGTGAAATGCCATCAACAGCTAATTGTAGATCAAAAACAGCAATATATCGATCATCAGATTGACGTAGCATCAACAAATAAAATTATAGAAAATAGAAAAAAATTAGTACCGATAGTAGATGCAATTATTCTTTGTGGGAGGCAGGGAATTCCTCTAAGGGGTCATGACGATTCCGGACCGATAGAATCTGCTGATATTCCTGTACACAACGACGGAAACTTTAGAGCTATTTTACGGACTAAGCTTAAGTCAGGAGATGAAATGTTGCAGCTACACTTACAAAATATGTCTAAGACTGCGACATATCTCAGTCCAACAATCCAAAATGAAATTCTTGCAATTTGTGGGAAAATTATCAGACATAAAATTATTACTAGATTAAAACAGGCAAACTTTTTCTCAGTTCTTTGTAGGATTTGTTCCCATAATCGATTTAACTGGTCAAGGACTCGCTAATACAATCCCACAAACATCAGAAGAATTTGATATTGACTGCTCATTTTTAGTTGGACAAGGATATGACGGCGCATCGGCAATGAGTGGGCATACACTTGGTGTGCAGGCATGTATCCGCAAAAAATATCCTTGTGCACTGTATGTGCATTGCTCTTCGCATTCGCTTAACCTTGCAATATCAGACTCATGTGACGTAGCGCATATAAGAAATTGTATGGGAACAATAAATAAAATTGCAGTATTTTTCAATACCCCTAAAAGGCTTAATGTATTCGCATATTGATAAAGTGTCTACAGAATCGAAAAAAGAAAAGTTGAAAAAGCTGTGTAGTACTAGATGGGTTGAGAGACATGATGCCATATTGACTTTTCTGGAGTTGCATGAAGTTACTATCGCCGCTCTTTCCGAAATTCAACTATGGAGAGATAAAGATTCCTCCTCTGACGCATTTTCCTTTCTAAAATCCACCCAAACCTAGGAATTCCAATTTTCGCTTAGAATTATTTCAAAAATATTCGCCATTACCCTACCTCTCTCCAAACAACGGCAGACCACCAATTTGGATCTAGGGCAGGCCTTAGATTTGGCTGAAAGTGTTCAAAACCGGCTTTTATCTATCAGGGATAATGCCGAAGGCGAGTTCAACCAAATTTTTAAAGATGTTGAAACCTCCTGTAAAGAAATGGATATAGAGATGGCTCTTCCTGTAACAAACTCTCGACAAACTCAAAGAAACAATGTTCCAGCTGAGGTACCTGAAGAATACTTTAGAAGAGCATATTTTATACCGTTTGTCGATTCTAGTATTAGCCATCTTAAAGAAAGGCTATTAAAGCACAAAAACATTGTACAAGGATTTCAAGTACTTCTACCAAATAAACATTTTAATGAAGATGGAATAGAGAAACTGTATGATTTTTATGAACACTTCTTGGAAGCTTGCAGCTTTGAAACTGTACTCGGCGAAGTAAAACTATGGCGTCAGCTTTCAGAAGATCTGGAAAATCCCCCACAAGATGCTTTAAGCTGCTTAACGTTCCTTTTCGAAAACGGCAAGTACGAATATTTTCCTAATGTTGCTGCTTTGTTACAAATATATGTCACAATACCAGTAACGACAGCGTCAAACGAACGCACCTTTTCGACGTTGCGACGATTAAAAACATACTTGAGAAATACACTGTGCCAGGATCGACTAAACGGATTGTCTTTGTTGGATATTCATCGAGAAGTTTCTGTTTCCGCGGAAGAAGTTATAGATGAATTTGCAAAGTCTACACGAAAACTTCTTTTGTTATAAAGTGACTGACGACAAAAAAAAATATATATGTATGATGTTACTTACTTTTATTTAAAACTGTGTTTTAATGCTGCCAATTATATCGGTTCGACGAAGCAAATATACAATGGCTTGTGGACAGATTTTTAGTTGAGAATGAGGAAACTCGAGGAGGAGCACTTTCACGTATTCATAAAATGAAGATATGTCTACGCTATCTCGGTGACCCTCGATATCAACAAGGTATTGGTCAGGAGCTTAGTGTTAGTCAAGCAATGGTATCTCGGACTGTGGATAGAGTTGTAAACAGCATAGTTGCACAGTCGAACGAATGGATCAAGTACCCTCCCCCCCCTCCTTTTCCCATGTATCCCCCTATAGCCCCACGGTACCCAATGGGTGCTTAGGACTTAGGCCTTCGTGGTAGTTGGAGTATAAAAAAAAACTACCAAACATGAACTGATGGAGGCCAAGCGGATATGGCAAAGCATGTATAAATTTCCGACAGCAATTGGTGTAATTGATTGTACACATATAGGAATCCTGAGACCAAATCACCATGGAGATGAGTATATTAACCGAAAAGGGAAACCTACTTTCAGAGAGATGTTCACAAGTGTTGATGTCAGTTAGCCTGGATCAGTGCACGATTTCAGAATATGGAGAAATTCACAGACTAGATCACAACTAATAGATAAAGCAAATGTTGTACTACTTGGCGATGACGGTTATGGTATTGAGCCATGCCTTAGACTCCCTTCAGAAATCCTACTCCAGGTGCAGAAATAAATTATAATAAGCTTTTAAAACAAGAAAGAGTTATACGAGTAATTGAACGCTGTTTCGGCCAACTGAAACGCCGGTTTCCTATCCTACAGTATGTTTGCCGCGTAAAGTTGGAAAATGTGCCGAAAATAATTATTGCTTGTATTGTACTCCATAATGGTGCGAATAGCTTGGGCGATCCTGACTTTGAGTTAGTTGAACAAGACCCAGATGAAGATGAAGGAATTCATGAGAATGACGAACTTCCTCTCCGCCAACTAGGTCAACAAATAAGAGAAATAAGAAGAAACTTGAGTATTATAATAAATAGTTTAACTGATTAAAGTGTATTTATAAGTTACGTATATAATAAGTTTTATTTTCGTGAACATCATAAGCTACAGTTGCCTTCTGACGCTGCATCATCTCTAATTTTGTTTTATAATACTGTAAAATACTTGTTCGGTACTGCTGTAATAGCACTAGACGTGGCAGTTCTTTTGTAGTAGTTAACCCTTTGGTTTCCTCAGTTACGTATTTCTCTGTTGCTAATTTTCATTTTGGTGGCAATGTCTTCTGAATTGCTGGCGCTGTAATGCTGTTTGCTCACTGCGCTCGGTATATAGGTAGTTCACTTCCTTCTTCTTGAACACTACCAACCTGAATGGCACCTCTAATTTTACCAATTGTAGGATTACAGTCACCTTCCATAGCTTTCAGCAACTTTCTTTCCCAATCTAACAATTTAATTGCTTTATTACCAGTTTTTCTTAGATCTGTTTTTTCTTCAATCTTGATTTCATGTTGTTGATTTTTTTAATAAGCCGTTAGTATTTAATGGTTTACCGAATGTTGATTCGTATTTTTTCAACATCTTCTTCAAGGTATCGTCCTTTCTCATTTTTATTTTTGGAACTTGTGACTTTTGTAAAATAATGGGAGCAATGGCAATTTCATCTGCGATGAACTGTAGGTCAATGCCATTATTTCCTATAGTTTCCTCATCACTGGTGGATGACATGCTTATTAATTTGATAAAAAACTGTATCCAGTAAAAATACGGAATGGTATGTGTGACCTCTGGAGTACAACTGTCAGTGATGCTAAGTGAACGAACTCCCACGTCAACTACAAGCTGGAACAAGTCAGGACATGTCGCTCAAAATACAAATACCAGTCAACCTTTTACTTCTTCTTAGAGGATATCCTCGCGAGTATAAGGTAATCATTATGAATATGAAAACAAGGATATGCTTATACTTCTACATTTTTCTCCGAAGCAAGACCTTATACTTTTAGCTTATGCTTCCAAGGGTATGCTTGTCTTTTATGAATACGGCTCATTGAGTTGTGGTCAATAAATGGACCCAATATTTTGGTTCCTAGAATTCCACACCACATATTAAACCCAAAACGTTCTTGATGTCTGAATACCGCCTTAGCCCGCAGATTTTATTGAGCCCGGTAATGAGTATTGCGGCGATTAAAGATACCATTATTAGTGACCATACGATTTTTGAAGGGATATTAGATCTTCTTCACACGTTCGCGATAACTCAGAGGTCTCAGAAGCTGCTTGTAAAATACCATTCTGAGTTTCTTCTAGAGATATCTTTCTTTGAAACGTAACAGACTTTTTGAATGAACCATACTCATTTAAATTTCGAGTAAGCCCTCAGAAAATGGACTTAGTTGGTTGCCTTCTTTCGGGAAATTTATCAAGATACAGTTCTCCAGTATTTTTAGCATTTTTGTAGCACTAAATGTAGCACGTCAGTATGTCGCACTTTCCGTCCTTGCGAAAATGATCGTCTGGCATCTTTGAAGATAATAAAGCAATATTAGCGATAGATAATAACAATACTTGGTGTCAGGTATTTTCGTCAAGTCAACGTCTACTTAAAAAACAAAAAATCAGAAAGAAAACGAATTTTACCTTATAACCAAGAAAAGAAATTTGACATGTGATACATGGTTGAATTCGTATAAAAAATGCTTTTAGATAAATGGTGTACTTTCTTCGGACCATATAAAAAATAAGGTTGATGATGGTTTCTCAAAAGCGAAACATAGAGCACAAAATTTAAAAACACCACGTAGTACCCAGAAAGTGCCAATGGAAAAGTTTAATTAGTTTTTTAATACTTATTTAAATAAAGTCAGAAAAAAATATATGTGATTCAGCCAAATTTTAGTTTTTCCAAATACCTCAGTAAGCCATGAACTTTTTCCTAATCTTTTAACCTAAGCTGTATCCCCCTTGGCTATTGAGATCCCCATGCATAAGCATGACCATATGACAAACACCACTTTGAATTCTTGAAACAAATTGAATATTCCAAGAAAAGTACATTGTGTGTTTTGTTCTCAAAATTGTTCTTTCTGGCACTTGCACTTGAGAAGACCGAAGATATACGTTTCTACTACAAATTACTAAGCACAACTCCAGTTTCTTTCATTACTTTTTCTCCTACCTCTCTGCCGTCTCTTTAATTCCCTGCTAAGAAATATAGAATGTTTGAAATATTCTAAATTTAATGTAAAAATGTATTTATTATTTGTCTCAATCATCTTATTGTCTGCTGTCGGTAAATATAACTTATACTTGTTTTTTTGTGTGTCACTCTTATCAAGTCGAGATGTAGTAGAATTCCTTTTCTCATGCTCACATTAGAAGTCTCAATTAATGAGCAACTTTATTTCGTTTTTAGATTTAACTAATTTTAATAATATTCCAAATATAAATGGTCGAATACTGGACTTAATTTTAGGAAATATCGAAATAGAAGTCCTCAGAGATAATACACCTTCTGTTAAAGAGGACGTTCATCATCCTGCATTGATCATGGAATTCATTACATCCGGATCTCCAACGAAATTCCCATTTGCTAATTCTCCGCGGTTTAACTTTCGCAAAGCTAACTTTCCTGAAGTGTACACAGCCTTGCAAGATGTTAATTGGACGGAGGTGATCAGTGCAGTTAATGTTGATGTCGCTTGTACCGCCTTGTATTCAGTTATCAATAACATCTTTGAGGCCCATGTCCCTAAATGTAAAAATAAAATGTTTTCGTATCCCCCATGGTTCACACGTGAAATTATACTTAATATCAAGAAGAAGGACATAGCAAGAAGGAACTGGAAACGTGACGGTACTAAGTTTTCTTATGATCAGTTCAGTAATTTTAAAAAATATAAGTGAAGAAAACGTAATTAGGGCTTCGACAATATTAAAGAACAAAATGACGTCTGGATGTGATGGTATTCCAAGTTTTTTCGTTAAAGATTACATTCATATACTAGTGAAACCGCTGGCTTCCATATTCAACCTAATTCTAAAATCAGAGACATATCCAAATATCTGAAAGACCTCTAAAATATGTCCTATTCACAAAAGTAGAGATATCTCTGATATTTCCAGCTATCGCCAAATAGCAATCCTGTGCAATTTCAGCAAGTTGTTTGAGATCATCGCTTATGAAACGGTTTACTGCTCGGTCAGGGGTACAGTCTCTATTAATCAGCATAGGTTTATGAGAGGCAGATCTACGGTCACCAACTTGGCTTTCTGAAGTACTGGACGGCCAGGGACAAGTTGATGTCATCTACACAGATATTCAGAAGGCGTTTGATCAAGTTGATCATTATGCACTTCTGGATGAGCTTAAAACAGTGGGTATGTCTGATGCAATGCTGTCGTTCATGAATTCATATTTGAGGGACAGAAGGTTATTTGTCGAATATGGTGGTCATAGATCGAGTTACTATCGGGCCACGTCCGGGGCACCTCAAGGGTCAAATCTAGGTCCATTACTGTTTCTGATATTTATTAATGACTTGTCTTTTGAACTGAAGCGTTTCCATTTGTTTTTCGCTGATGACCTTAAAATCTGCAGGTCAGTCAAGACAGTTGAGGATTGCGTCATGTTGCAAGATGACTTAGCTCTAATTTCGTCATGGTGTTCACGAAACTGTCTCAGTCTGAATGTTTCGAAACGTAAAGTTATGACTTATACAAGAAAGGTTAACTATTTAATTTATGATAATTATAACATCAATGGTCAGGTTATAGACAGATGCACCTCTTATAGAGACCTTGGAGTCACTTTTGATACCAAGCTAACGTTTACTGAACATATACTCAATATCTTGTCGGCTGCCACTCAACTACTTGGTTTCTGTATCAGAAACTGGAAGGGTTTCTCCAATGTTGATACATTAATGACTTTATTTTTTACTTTTGTCAGGAGCAAGCTGGAGTATGCGACTTTGTTCTGGTCTCCTATATACCAAAATTCTGTCGTGATCCTTGAGGCCATTCAACGTAAAGCTTTAAAGTATTTTCACCTTAAATGCACAGGTTTCTTATCCAGAAAGAGGTTGTGACCATAGGGCCCTATTAGAGTTTTTCAATTTAGATTCACTGTCAACAAGACGAAACATATTTGCTTTGTCGTTTTTGTATGGCCTCATTCACAATAAAATTGACTGTCAAAATTTACTTGAAAAAATATGTTTCCGCGTTACAAGGCTAGGGAGTCGACAACAAACGGCATTCTATTGTCAAGCTGGCCGTACAAATGTTATGACAAAATCGCCAATTAATCTCATGTGCTGCGTCATGAACAGTGATACTGAATCGTGTGATATTTACAGTGACAGTTGTGCATCGATTATTAACTGCTATAGATCATCCAATCTTATTTAGAATGTGTGACACTATGGATTTAAGTCCAAGTACCATGTCTCTTTAATTGTTATTTTTTTCAGCATTTACTGTAATTGGGTTTCACCTGTTGGAAATAAATAAATAAATAAATTAGGATAGGTTTGTTTAATGTAAACTGTATAAACATTTAAGTTTAAGATATGATACAACTAGTCATAGTGCATGGACCAGAAGGTTGATACCACAGTACGGATTGTCAAGGGAGCATAAGACATGATCCTACATCAACTTGGATTCGAGCAGTTAACAACCTCAGTAATTCATTTGCACATATTGCAAAATATTTTTCTTTATCGGCCCTTACCCCTTGAAACAGGATCCTCTGATTCGTTTTGTCCTGAGCTGTCCGCATACTAATCCATATACGATACCGAAACATTAAATTTAAAGTAGTTTAAGTTCAAAGCCAAAATAAGGAGAGTAAGCGGATGTTTCTTCTTACTTAATTAAACGTGCTATGTGATATGAAAACCTCCATTGTGACCAACCCTTGTTTCAATGTTTACCTGTCGCCAAACATTTTTAATACGATTTTTTATAAGCTTGGCATGTATGTATGTATGTATGAAATGGAATTTTTGAGCATAATTTTCACCAATTTTCAGAAGTTTGATTAATTCGAAATTTCGCACACGTATTAAGGACCGATGACAATGCAATGATCTGATAACAGTTTTCCATTATCCTTATCAGGACCGCCAGGATTGATAAATTATTTTATAGATCCTCTGTCGGGGAGTAAGAGAGGTAGAGCTAGAGCGCCATCTGCGCATGCGTACAGTTTCAGACTTACTCTTTGTTGGTGTGGGCACTCGGCACAGCACAGCGGAGGCAGATACTTTTTCAAGGTAGTGCATTCTCACCTTGTTAATTGCGAATGTTGCCATTTATCCTGAGCTGGGCTTCGACCGTCAACATTGCAAGGTTGTTTGCTGCTGGACAAGGTTATGTAGCACTTGGTCGTGTAAAATCTTTACACGGTAATCGGATTGAAGAACTTGCTCTAGGTTAACAGGGAAAACTTCATGCAACAGTGAAGCTTCAAATGAAATGATTAGATTACGAAATGATTCGTAAGGCATTTCAATATCACACAAAAAACTAATTGATAAATCGAACCAAAAATGAAAAATAAATAGCAGTTTAAAAGAACTAAAACAAAAATACGCTTCTATAGCTAGGCGCACGTAGAAAATTATGTTTAATTACAAAGAGTTCATATTAGAGTAATAGATGGTCGAACAATCAATCATAATTAATGTCTTCAAAATAGAATTATAATAAAATTTTAGTTATTAACAGAGTAACTCAATTCAGAGTAAAAAGGGTGAGGTGCATTTTACTACATTTACTACAACAGAATCTTTGTAATATTTAGTATATAAAGCACCCCACGCTTTTTACTCTGAATCGAATTATTCTGTTAATAGCAACTTATGTTATAATTTTATTTTGAGGTCATTAATTATGATTGATTGTTGGACCATCTACTACTTTAATATAAACTCTTTGTCATTAAAAATCATTTTCTACTTTTCAGTTCGGTTAGCTATAAAAGCGTGTTTTTTTAGTCATTTTAAAATATTATCTATTACCATTATTCTTAGGTCAGTAAATATGACATAATGCCTTCAGTTTTGGTGTGCAGTTTATTATTTCTATATGAATAACCATTTAATGCGCTTCCTGCAAAATACTACAAAAAAACGTTAATGTCCTTAAAAAAGTATATTAGTAGAAACTGCATGGGATAATGGTACTAGTGCAAAGTATGATGTTAATCAATGCTAGTGAAATTTCATATTAGGATTACATGGAACAAATTAATAGCTTCCTGATAGGCTTTTTGTTTCCAGCTACACATGGAAATGGTTTTCATAAAAATATTACTTTTGTCGGCCATATTAAAGTTTGGAAAGGTGAGTACCAAAATTGTCTTTTTTGCTGACGACCATGATTCGGTCACCGCGGCGACCTTTTTCAAGTATACCTGAAAAAAGGCGTCATCAGTAAATAGTATGTGGTTTCATTTAGCGGCCAGAAAAACATGGTGGATTATCAGCATGAAAGCCATACGATAAATTTCAGGTGTTTTATTTTTCTTAGTTTTTACTGGCAATACACTTATAAAATTTGCTTCCATTAAACAAATCTTCTTTTCGAAAACTAAGCTGTCTGCAGAAATTCATCTTACTCTTCCTGGCAAAACTGTTATTGATATTACGTCTAGTTATCGTTATACAATTTTATCAGGAGTAAACGTTTGGTTTAGTCAATGGTAAAACTGCGTAGCGTTGTTGCGACGAAGGATAGATATATCATCATATACGAGTATACCATAAAAATTCATATCCTGTATTTCCTTCCAATTTTTTCAACAATTATAAATTCGACATCTCCTACATTACCATATGTTGGATATTGCTGCACTATAGATGGAGCTGTTGTGGGCTAAAAAGTCTGTGTTTATACGTGGTGTACCAATTAAATTCCGAGAATTAAACAGTAATAACTTGAGGTCTAGTAAGACTGCGTCACCTGTCAACTTCTGCCCGGAAGATGCGTTCTCTCTTTGAGTTACAGTCCACAACTGAAGTCGATTATTGGTGTGGCTTGAATTTTGTGGGTGTTTTTTGAAAAAAGCTTTTGAGTTGCATCGTGAAAATAATTTTTAGTGAAATCTGGCGAAAAACCCTCGGAAATCTTGCGGAAATTATTGTAGGTGGCTTATGAAGGCAAGCGTATGTCGAAAACACGCGTATTTGGAAGGTTCAAACGCACGGTTCAAAGAGAATCAGTGGAAAATGATCCACGTGACATAATCTCCCGTACTGACCCAAATGTCGACCGTTTGCGCGCTCGGATAACATCTGGCCAGCGCACCGCCTAAGTATTCGTGCATTGCCTGACGAGCTAAATATGAACAAAAAAACAGTCCGCCAAATGTTACACGAGAACTTAAACATGTGAATGGTTTGCGCAAAGATGGTTCCAAAAGTTCTCACCCATGAACAGAAACAATTGCGACGATGCCCCGCCCACCCTACATCCCCGATATTGCCCCCTGCGATTTATTATTCAATAAGATGAAGTCACACCTCAAAGGAAGACATCATGGTGGCATAAAGGAGGTGAGAGCAGCTGTAACGAAGGTGCTCAATGGGCTATTGTGAAGGTTGTTAATAAAATTTTACGTGCAATTTGATTTGCTTGTTTTTTGTTGAATGTAATTGGCACAACACGTAGGGGAGTTTGGGGCAAAGTGGCTACCTTAACTTCAAAATACCAAAAATACTTTATAGAAAATTAGAATGAGACGCACAACCGTGCCAATCGCTTTATTCGTGAAAGAACTTTATTATTTTAAATGGTCTGTTGTTTCTAAATAAGTGCTATGAAAAAAAAATCGAAAAAATATATTGCTATGAATTATCCACTTTACCCCATACTTGGGGCAAAGTATGGGGTAAAGTGGATATGTGTATAGGGTTAAGGTGGACACTATCTAAAAGGTAAATAAGACTTCGATGAACAAAATTTTTATCAACACTTTCAGGGTGAAAAAATAAAACATAGAATAAGAATAAAGTACCAATCATTCAAAAAATTACACAAACATACTTTCTTGAAAGGAAAAAAAGTTCGTAGCAGAAAAATGAACAAAATTATAATCTAGTGAATTTCGTTATACGAAAAAAGTTTTGGTAACGTCCATAATATTGAAGAACTACTAAAACTAAACAGAACTATTCAGTCGAGACGTTTTATCTTCTGCTTTAAAAGACCCGTATTTTGCCATACCTTAGAGACTGAACTCTAATTTTCCCCAAAATTTCTTCTGTTAAAACTTCACTAAAATCCTTAACTTCAGAAAAACATAAATGTCTTTCGACTGCCGATATTGTCGCAAAAATGACACATTGATCTTAGTTTCTGGAATCTTTTCAATACTTATTATACTAAGTGACATATAAATCCGAACACCCAGTTCAAATGGTTTTATTTTAATAAAATTTTGTATAAGTACTTAATGAAGCATAATAAGTAAATGATAAAAATTTCAAAATGATTGCACTGCTTTAAAGCCCTTTGACCTTTAATAATGTGTGGATGCACCCTGATGTGCTACGCATTCTCCAACGCGCCTAGGCATGCTTCTAATCAGGTAGTCAATGTCCTCCTGTGGTATCTCATTCCAGGCAACCACCAACTCCTCTCGAAGTGCTTCTAGAGTCTGAGGAGGACGTTGCAAATTGAGCAATCTCCTACCCATCATATCCCACACGTGCTCAATTGGGGATAAGTCGGGAGATCTTGGTGACCATGGTAATAATGTGACATCATTATGTTGAAAGGACTCTATTGTGACTCTTGCAACATGTGGTCGGGCATTATCTTGTTGGAAAGTTGGATCTGCCAGGGTGTCAAGATAGGGTAAAAGATGGGGTTCTAGAACTTCGTGGATATAACGCTGCGCGTTCATGTTACCTTTGATGAAGATTAAAGGTGACCTGGAACCATAAGCTATAGCACCCCAAACCATAACTCCAACAGTGTGATGAACATGTCTTTCAACAAAAAACTGTGGATTCCTCCTTTCACCACGTCGCCTTCTAACCCTGGCACGACCATCGTGCATGCCTAAACAAAATCGAGACTCGTTTCTAAAGACAATACTGTTCCATTCCTGATCCCAGAGTGACCGTTGTCTGCACCACTCAAGGCGATTACGTCGGTGTTCTCGAGTTAAAGGGAGGACCCAGTGTGGCCGGTATGAAAACAAGCCAAAACTTCTCATTCGTCGGTAAACACTTCGCATGCCAATAGGTCTTCCGTGTTCTGCAAACCATTCATTTGCAATGGACCTGGTAGTGGAGAAACGGTCCCTTAAGGCCAATAATCTTAGGCGGCGATCTTCACGGCCTGTTGTTCTACGGCGGCCTCCAGTGCCCCTTGCTCTTTGCGTACGGCCTTCTCGAAGCCATGCCTGACAACACCTAACCACAGTGTCTACACTTCTTTGCACTCTAACTGCAATTGCCCGAAAAGAAAGTCCAGCTTCCCGAAGTCCCACTATACGGCCCCTATCAAACTCACTAAGTTGACGAAATCGTACAGGTCTCCGTACTCTAGGCATCGTAACCGATCGTAAAGGATGTCAAGAACCAAAATCCGCCAACGTTGATTCTTTACTGCGGCTGAAATATTCATTTTTAGAGCGTTAGTGAATTAAAAAAAAGCAGTATAAGAAAAGGAATGTCCAACTGATAAGGCTGAAAATTTTTTCACTTGTTATTTACAGTAAGATAAATACATTCACCAACTTTTATTAAAATAGAACCATTTAAACTGGGTGTTCGGATTTATATGTCACTTAGTATATTTGAGCAACAAAACGTTTTTTTGTCATTTTGTCAGATGTTAATTCTGTCAAAATAAAATCATCTGCATTGAGGTTTTCAACTTCAATAGCTATTGTCCGAATCGCAAGAAGAATCCTCTAGCTCCACTTCAACTGAGCTACCTGAAGGTGTTACTTCTTCTATGTTTCTTTCTTTTGCAGTCAATGTTTTTTCCCCTGCCCATCTTTTTTGACCATTTTTTTCTTTGCTTTAGATGTTTGGGTTTTATTTGCTGCTTTTTTTAGTTCTTCATAATTAGGGCTTGAAGTGAGTACCATAGTTTTTCCTTTTCTCATTTTTCGTATTGGAGCTCTTGCTTCGCCTGTGTTTGGTAATGCCAATATATTTTTAGGTGAATAGTAAATATTACTTTCACTCTGCGTTTCTAACAGGAGATGGTGTTCTAGCGCTAGAGGGACCTGGTTGTGGAGAGTTATTGATTTGTTGGTTATTCGGTTGTTGTGGGGGTTGCGGAGTTATTGGGCGGTCTTCATTGAGAGCTCTATCTGTGGCATCTGCCGGTTTAAATGCATCTTCTGGAAATACATCAGGGTTAAAGCGATAAATCCCCGTCGCTTTGAAACCATTGATAGCATTTTGTGTTGTTGTAGCGCGCTTAAAAGCATTTCCAAAAAGCTCTCCGACTTGGTACAAAGTTATTACCATTCCAGGGTTATAAATAAGCCATTTTTTCGTTTCTTGTTGGTAGTATGAATTTAGTGGAAACATGAAGGCTACATCCAAGGGTTGTAAACGGTGAGATGTGTGTGGTGGTATCACAATAATGTGCGCGTGATTTGCCCTTGCTTTCTCGACCAACGTTAGATTCTTTGTGTGGGTGGCATGCCCATCTAAGACTAGAAAAACAGGATCAGTCTCGGTGGGTTTGGAATATTTTAGAAAGTGTTCAAACCCAGCCTCTGAAAATATTTCACTTTGCATCCACTCTGATGGATGATATTCCACGATTGATTCTGGAGGAAGTCCTTGATCGAGTGGTGGACATTTTCTAATTCTTGGAAAGATCAGGAGGGGAGGGATGTAAAATCCAGTGGCGTTGAAACAAATTTCGGCAGTTGTTAGAGTGCTTCTTTCAGCGGAAGAAAGACTGCCCACTTGTTTTTTTCCTTTCATGGAGAATATTCTTGAGGGCCTATTTGGTACCGTAGAGATACCCGTCTCGTCGCAGTTGAAAATTCTACTGGCGGGGAATTTGTATTTTTGAAGCATTTCTCGCAATAGAGTAAAAAATGAATTAACGTTGTATTTATTATGACGAAGCCCTAGCTGCCGAGGTATATTCTGGAAGCCTCAAAGAAATATATTGGTTTCTTTTTAGAAATCCATACATCCAATCACGCCCTGCAAGTCCTTTAGCTGCGTTAAAGATGTGTGCAATATGGTTTTTGTCCGCAAACTGGAAGGCAAGGTGCCTTAACTCCCTCGTGCCAAGACCAAAAAGCCTAATTTCCATCTCTAAGATATAATCGGCCAGCTCCTTCTCGTGTTCTGCCGAA